TTTACACTACCTATCTTGTTTCTGTATTTTTGATGATCACTATTCCCCCTTTTTAAATTAACAATTTTTAGTAGTTTAAATTATAATAACCCACATGCATTACCTTGCATTTATAATAATTAAAAGCCATCAGCATTCCATTTATTTGCCCTATTTACCAAATAATCTAAATCCTTTTGTAAGGCAGTAGTATTCTTCTTACAGCTAGCAACACCCAAGACCTTTATACTACCAGCAAAATGTATATAAATCTAATATAAGGACAACAAAGGACCTGCTGATCCATCTAGGCTGTTTCATCCACTATATTAAACTTTAAAAATACAAATAAAACTCTCAAAGCCAGCCCTTATCATTCAAATATTTATCAAACCTTCCCTTAAGTTAACTGCATCTATCAAATCTGAAGGTAGCCCATTCCAAAGGCCAACCTTCCTGTTACAAAAATAAAATTATCTTAGCTGAAGATTAATCCTATGCTACCCAGATTTATTAATTGTGTCCCCAAGTCTTACCATTCTCACCATTAAATATAAAGAAAGATGATGTATCAACACTATCAATTTCCTTAACAATCTTATACATCTCAAATAGATCCCCTTTAATTCTGTGTTTGAAAAAAAAAAAACTGTCAGAGATCCTAGCCTGTCCTTGTATGACAACTTCTTCATCCTATGTATCATCCTAAAAGCCCACCTATGAATCCTTTCCAACTATATATTCTTTCTAAAACAAAGGGCTAAACACAATATTCCAAATGTGGCCTAAACAAGGAACTATTTAGATTTTTATCCAGTATTTCTGTAGATACAACACAAATTCTTATTTGCCTTGCCATTAGCAACAGCATACTGCTTGGATAGCTCTCTTTCTTCCATCCAGTAATTTTTCTATCCAATGAGCTAGCATATTCCCCAACACCTACAGAGATAACTTTTTAACAAGCCTTTTATGTGACAACTTTTAAATGCTTTTTGAAAATCCAAATACAAGAAATCCACACTCATATCCTCACCTACATAAGCAGTGGCCCTTTCAAAAAATGTCAAAAGATTAGTAAGGCAATAATTCCCCCTAATGAAACCATGTTGACTGTTCAACAATATTTAAAATTTTGTTAAATGACTTTAAAAACTTTTATCTGATTCTCAAAACTTTTCCCACCATTATGTAAAATTTGAGTAGTGATGTAATATTTCTACGTGAGCCACATGTTACTATTTTCTCTAAGTGCTTCAATTGTGGGCAGGTGCCAGTAGATTGGAAATTAGCTAATTTTGCTCCTCTTTCCAACAGAGGTGTTAACAATTTGTCCATGTAATTATAGGCCTATTACTCTTAGATCAGCAGTGAGGTAAGTTTTTGAAAGTATGATAAAAGATTTTTACAAAGACATTTAACAAACTTTAAAATTTTTTAGGGTAGTCAACATGGTTTCACTTGGGGAATATCTTACTTTACTAATCTTTTGACATTCTTTGATGAGGTTGGTGTTTATGTAGATGAGGGTAAAGGTATGGAATTGGTGAATGTTTAGTTTCATACAGTAAATGATAAGGTGTCACAAAAAAGGTTATTTAAAAAATTAACTCTAAAGGTGTGGGAGATACATTGGCTCATTGGATAGAAAAATGGCTGGAAGAAAGCAGAGGGTTTTTATAAATGTAGTTCAAGAAAACTGGATTAATGTCACAAGTGGGGTACCTCAGAGCTTAGTCTTAGGACCTTTGCTCTTTTTGATTTGCATCAATGACATAGATGAAGGAACAGTCAATAAATTACTTAAATCTGTTAATGATATTAAGATATTGGGTGCTACTGCTGCTTTACAACAAAATTCAGATTATTTGGCAAGTTGGTTAAATAAATAGCAGTGTCTTTTAATTATAGCAAATTGAAGGAAATGTATTTAGGTTATCATAATTAAAATTCTTAGTATAATTTTAAAGAGAAAACTTGACAGTTTTATGAAAGACATTAAAAGTTCTTGGTGTTCTGGTTGATCAGTCTCTTAAGCCATACAAGCAGTGTGCTGTTGCATGTGGAAAAGCAAAGAGGATTTTAGGTTATTTTTACAAAAATATTGAATATTAAATACAATAAGTGTAAACAAAATGTTAAGATGGGAGTAGGATCTTTAATGTACAATAAAGGAAGGCTTGTACCTGATGATTATGATATGGCTGAATTATTAAATTTTACTTTTTCTTCAGTTTTTACAAATGAAGATTTAAGCAATTTTCCTCATCTTGAGCAGTTTCACAGGTGGAAACAAGATTGAACAAGATGATCACATTTATTCTGATCTTGTTATGAAAATATTGGGAACTTTAAAGGACAATAAGATTCCTGAGCTAGATGATATTTTCCCAAGGATTTTGAAAGGTATTAAGGATTGGATATGTGATCCATTTACTACTATTTTTTCTAAATCCTTCAATAATAGGCAGGTTCCAGAGGATTGGAAGTCAGCTAATATTACTCCTCTTTTTTTTTGAAGAGAGGTGATAAAAAATTGTCCCAGTAATTACAGGCCTATTAGTCTTATATCAGTTGTGGGAAAAGTTTGGAAAATCTGATTAGAGATGATTTGTAGTTTCATTTAACAAAGTTTAAAATTTTATTGGATAGTCAACATGGTTTCACTAAGGGAAAATCTTGCCTGAAAAACCTTTTAATATTCTTTGAAAAGGTTACTACTTATGTAGATGAGGGAAATGGTTTAGATTGGGGGAACTGAATTTTCAGAAAGGCTATGACAACATGCAGCATAAAAGGCTTTTAAAAAAGTATCTCTATACTTGTGTGGGATAAGTTGGCAAATTGGATGGATGGAAGAAAGCAGAAGGTTGTTATAAATGGAGTTCAGTCAAACTGGATTAATATCACAAGTGGAGTACCTCAGTTTTAGCACCTTTGCTCTTTTTGATTTACATTAATGACATTGATAAAGGAATAGTCAATAAAATACTTAAATGTGCTGATGATATTAAGGTCTTGGGTGTTGCTGGCTGTGAAGAGAATGCTGCTGCTTTACAAAATGAGTTAGATAATTTAGTGAGTTATGTGAATAAATGATAGATGGGTTTT